CTTTAGGAGACAAAGACTGGAGTCATGTTACATGAGACTGCTAGATATCATTGCTATAACAGGGGCAATACAGAAACAGATTAGTGTCTGCTGGGGCCCCAGAGGCTGCTTAAAAAGTGTCAAAGGGTCACAGGTCTGGCATCACGGCACTAAAGAGTATTTCTTAGCGTAGACTCTGACCGCGGTGTCTATGTAGGAAGATGGCCCAGTAAGCAGGTATCCATTTATTTATCCATCATCCTACAGGATCACCTAATCTATTAGATAATCATTCTGTAGATAGCCATGACTTGGGAGGTAGATGAATAGTCACCTTGAACAATCTACGCTCATTTAGTTTTTTGTTGGTTTGTAATACTCCAAGTAGACCTTGAAAATGTGACCACATCCTCCGCCTGCGATGTGGTGCGTTTGGAAGGGTTTGCTCCATGCTGCCGTTTAATCTTCTTCACAGCTGGATGGGGATTGTGCAGACACACAGTCTGCCTGAGCCTTGGCCTGTCAGCTCATCTGGAGCACAGAGCAGAGAGCAGGAAATTCTAATCACTGTATTCATCTGCCGGGAACTCATTACTGCACACTAAGAATAGTTTTTACTTTGTTTTATTCCTGTCCACGTTTTTTGGTTTGCGTCTAGCTTCTGTCCTGTGCTGATTTCAGCACCAGTGCCAAGTATAATTACATGGAGGAGGCTGCTGTGACAAGACCACATGTGTTGGATGTGCATTCCTGCCTCATTGTACAGTAACAGACAGAACTGCTAACAATAGGAGTACTCATATGTTAGTAAACACGTATAATGTGTAACTCCACATTGCTCTGGCTGAATCGATATTAAAAGCCAAAGCAGGAAAATAATCAAAGAGTTTATTATATACAGAGGACCAGAGGCGGACTGACAACTCATGAGGCCCCCGGGAAATAGGGGATCATGGGGCCCCTGTGTCCTTGCCCAGACTCAAAAAAGCCTATGAAAAAGGTACCAGGGGCATCTCATGGGGCCCCCTACTGACCCCGGGCCCTCGGGCAGTGCCTGAGTTTCCAAATGGTCAGTCCACCCCTGCAGAGGATCCAATCAGCTGGAGACGCAGAGAAAAAAAAGAGAGGGATTCTCACCTGCAAACTAATTAGGCGCTGATGCCAATATGGGGGGCAACCAAGAGTATTGCTCTGAACAAGCCGCAATGTATGGTTTTTAAGATCTCAATGTGCATTAATAAAGTTTTGTACTTTTTATATACATTAACATCTGATCAGGGGTGGACTGACAACTCATGAGGCCCCCGGGCAATAGGGGATCATGGGGCCCCTGTGTCCTTGCCCAGACTCAAAAAAGCCTATGAAAAAGGTACCAGGGGCATCTCATGGGGCCCCCTACTGACCCCAGGCCCTCGGCAGTGCCCGAGTTTCCAAATGGTCAGTCCGCCCCTGCAGTGGACAAACAAAATGCCACGTTTATGGGTTACATGTCCCAGATCACACCCAGGTAACCCTTTTATTGCTAACAGTAACATGCTAAAATATGAAAAAATCACAAAATGCCATTGTGGATAAATAATGCCTAAAAGCCATCCTCTTAGTGTCGCTTATGCCAGGGGCATCCCTAGGGTTGGTGTCACCCGGTGCGATAACACTTGGTGACACCCCCTCCGACGATCCCCACAGAATGGATCGGATCTGCGGATTGAGCATAATGGATCGGAGTCCGATCTATTATGCTCCCCAATCTGCAGATCCATCATCCTGCGGGGATCGTCGGCATGCAACCTATACGGGGTGACACCGACCCCACCCTACGAAAAGGTAAGTTGTAAAGAAAGCCAACGATCCCCACAGGATAGATCCGATCAGGGGCGGACTGACAACTCATGGGGCCCCCGGGCAATAGGGGATCATGGGGCCCCTGTGTCCTTGCCCAAACTCAAAAAAACCTATGAAAAAGGTACCAGGGGCATCTCATGGGGCCCCCTACTGACCCCGGGCCCTCGGGCAGTGCCCAAGCTTCCAAATGGTCAGTCCTCCCCTGGATCCAATTCATCAGTGGCTTAGTGGTTAGCACTTCTGTCTGGCAGTACTAGGGTCGTTGGTTCAAATCCCAACCACGGGGCCACCTGCCTGGAGTTTGTATGTTCTCCCTGTACCTGCGTGGGTTTCCTCCGGGTACTCCGGTTTCCTCGCACACTCCAAAGACATGCAGGTAGGTTAATTGGATCCTGTCTAAATTGGCCCTAGTACGTGAATGTAAGTTAGGGACCTTAGATTGTACACCCCTTGAGGGTTAGGGACTGATGTGAATGTACAATATATATGTAAAGTGCTGCGTAAATTGACAGCGCTGTATAAGTACCTGAAACAAACAAACAATCCTGCGGGGATCGTCGGCATGCAACCTATACGGGGTGACACCAAACCCCCCCCCCACGAAAAGGTAAGTTGTAAAGAAAGCCAACGATCCCCGCAGGATAGATCCGATTCATTAGTGGTTAGCACTTCCGCCTGGCAGTACTAGGGTCGTTGGTTCAAATCCCAACCACGGTACCACCTGCCTGGAGTTTTCATGTTCTCCTTGTGTTTGCGTGGGTTTCCTCCGGGTACTCCGGTTTCCTCGCACACTCCAAAGACATGCAGGTAGGTTAACTGGATCCTGTCTAAATTGGCCCTAGTATGTGAATTAGGGACCTTAGAGTGTACACCCCTTGAGGGTTAGGGACCTTAGATTGTACGTTGAGGGTTAGGGACCTTAGATTGTACCCCCTTGAGGGTTAGGGACCTTAGATTGTACGCCCCTTGAGGGTTAGGGACCTTAGATTGTACGCCCCTTGAGGGTTAGCCTTAGATTGTACACTCCTTGAGGGTTAGGGACTGATGTGAATGTACAATATATATGTAAAGCGCTGCGTAAATTGACGGCGCTATATAAGTACCTGAAACAATCCTGCGGGGAGCGTCGGGATGCAACCAATACGGGGTGACACCAACCCCCCCCCCCTACGATTGATCCGATCCATCCTGCGGGGATCGTCAGCTTGCTTTACAACTTACCTTTTCATGGAGAGGGTCCAGTGTCACCCAGTGCGGTCAGTTGCACCCGGTGTGGAGCACACCCCCCGCACCTGCCTCGGGACACCATTTATTAGTTGGGCTAGGGTTTTTAGGATTCATTTATTTATTACAGGTACTTGTATAGCGCCATCAATTTACGCAGCGCTTTACATATATATTGTACATTCACATCAGTCCCTAACCCTCAAGGGGCGCACAATCTAAGGTCCCTAACTCACATTCATACATACACATACTAGGGCCAACTCACCTACCAGCATGTCTTTGGAGGTTGGGAGGTAACTGGAGTACCCAGAAGAAACCCACGCAGGCACAGGAGAACATGCAAACTACAGGCAGGTGGTGCCATGGCTAGGATTCAAACCAATGACCCGAGTACTGCCAGGCAGAAGTGCTAACCATTTAACCACTGTGGATTCATTCACAAGGCCAATTTAGGCAGAGTAAATCTGCGGTGCATTTTACAGGTATGTGTGGTCCGGCCATGGCAAGCAGGCTGTACAAATCAATGACAGACTCCATGACTGTGTCCAAGGCCATCCAACTGTCCCTAAGACTAGGTTCAAACCTTTGCACGTTGGGAACACAAACAAAACTGAGCACCTTCCCAACACGCAGAGAAAGGCACTGCCATTTAGCAGATGTGCAACAGTGCCATTTATTGTTAACGGCACCCCCAAGCAACTGCTAATGGGCACATATTTGCCTGTACCGAATTTCATGGTGCCGCAGCACCATGCGGTTCAGTGCAGCACGTGTTTGGAAAAATGTCAGATTTCTTTTTCACGTTTCTTGCATGTAGGGCAGCCCATTGAAATAAATGTGAACCTAATCTAATAGCATTAAACTACTCAGATGTGTTGCTTCTTCTCCCCTAGTCTGAGTTCTGCTGTACAGACACTACATGAGGCTAATGCATAGTAAATTCATAAAAAAAAAAAAGACATTAAAGGATGTATTAATGAATACTGAGATACATTAAAGCTTATCTGTAGACAAAATATAAAATCCTATATTAATTTCCATATTGTATTACAATTACGTTTAGCCTGCTCCTAGTAATCTGAACAATCTTGAAGTTTGCAGACTTATTTTGTGAAAATCCCCCATGCATTTACTTTCTTTATTTACAGAGGTGCTGGGAGGAGGCATTTCGGAAGGCGCAGTCAGTACATAAACCAAGGGAGTGAGTAGAGGAGATGCTGCAAAACATGCAAGGAAACCCAGGAAGTTGTGGAAAGAGACGGCCAGCAGACAAGCAGCACTCGCAACATGAAGGCAGATTCTTCAAGTAAGCTTACTGTATATTGGATTGTCAAATATAACTATTGTTTGTATTGTTATTAGAATTATGATATAACATGAATGTGTATGCTGTGACCATAGAACTCCTTTGCAGGAGAAGTAGGTGCAAAGCTCTTTTGGCCCTACTTCCCCTATGGATCACAGGAGTGCATTTAGTTGTGCACTTCTGTGACCTGTTTTCAGCTGACAGCAGCTAAAGCCCGCTGTCAGCTGACGTCAAAAAGCCAGTCCACGCTCTGCAAGGATCCTGACCACATTGGGATCGGACAAAAAACTTTGCTGGCAGCTGGCTCAGCCTCTCAGCGAACCCGTGAGAGCCTGCTCCTCCACAGTCCAGCACTCTAGTAAGTGGTGGAGGGGCAAAGCAGACTGATAGGTAACAGCTCTCTGCAGACTGAAGACCAAGAACTGAGCATTTAGCAGTCTGATCACTCAATTCTCTTTGTATCCTGTCCTCAGTTCCCTGTATCCTGTCCAGTTTCTGACCATCTCCTGTAGTATGTCTGCAGTTTCTGAGCATCTTCTGTAGTATGTCTGCAGTCTCTGACCATCTTCTGTAGTATGTCTGCAGTCTCTGACCATCTACTGTATACTGTCCACAGTCACTGACCATCTCCTTTAGTATGCCTGCAGTCTCTGACCATCTCCTGTAGTATGTCCGCACTCTCTGACCATCTCCTGTAGTATGTCTGCAGTCTCTGACCGTCTCCTGTAGTATGTCCGCACTCTCTGACCATCTCCTGTAGTATGTCTGCAGTCTCTGACCATCTCCTGGAGTATGTCTGTAGTCTCTGACCGTCTCCTTTAGTATGTCTGCAGTCTCTGACCATCTCCTGTAGTATGTCCCCAGTCTCTGACCATCACCTGTAGTATGTCTGCAGTCTCTGACCGTCTCCTGTAGTATGTCCGCTGTCTCTCACCATCTCCTGTAGTGTGTCTGCAGTCTCTGACCATCTCCTGTATACGGTCCACAGTCTCTGACTGTATCCTATAGTATGTCTGCAGTCTCTGGCCATCTCCAGTAGAATGTCCACAGTCTCTGACCATCACCTGTAGTATGTCCGCAATCTCTGACTGTCTCCTCTAGTATGTCCGAAGTCTCTGACCGTCTCCATTAGTATGTCCGCAGTCTCTGACCGTCTCCGTTAGTATGTCCGCAGTCTCTGACCATCTCCTGTGGTATGTCTGCAGTCTCTGACCATCTCCTGTAGGGTAGCGTGGCAGGGTGCGTGTCCTTTCCTAAATATTTTGTAACTAACATATGTCTATGTTTGTCATCTGGAAAAGGTGGGAAGTATGTGTATCCACACGTAAAACTCCATAATTGCTTGACAGTTACAGTTTTAGCAGACATACAATAACCTCAATACAAAGGATCACTTTTATTACTTAAAACTCTTGCATTACATATGCCTTTCTATACAGAATATAGACAGAGAGCTAGCAATTGCTTTGAGTCTACCATAAAGAACATCAATAGAAGCAACTTATTCACTCCCTTGTTATCTCTCGCCTTGACTATTGTAACTCCATCCTCATTGGCCTACCTCATCAAAGGCTATCCCCACTTCAGTCTATTTTTGCTGCAGCCAGATTCATCCACCTTACTAACCGTTCCATATCTGCCACCCCTCTCTGCCAATCCCTCCACTGACCTCCGCTCATTGTCCTCCACCCCTCTCTGCCAATCCCTCCACTGGCCTCCACTCAGTGTCCTCCACCCCTCTTTGCCAATCCCTCCACTGGCCTCCACTCAGTGTCCTCCATCCCTCTCTGCCAATCCCTCCACTGGCCTCCACTCAGTGTCCTCCACCCCTCTCTGCCAATCCCTCCACTGGCTTCCCATTGCCCAACGTATAAAGTTAAAAACATTAATAACATATAAAGCCATTTATAACTCCGCCCCAAATTACATCTCTCCGATCTTGTCTCTAAATATCACCTAAACCGTCCTCTCCGCTCCTCGCACGACCTCCTACTCTCTAGCTCCCTTGTCCCCTCCTCCCATGCTCGTCCCCAGGACTTCTCCAGAGCCTCCCCTATCCTCTGGAACTCTCTACCCCAATCTATCAGACTATCGCCGACTCTACTCACTTGTAGGTGATCTCTGAAAACCTATCTCTTCAGGGAAGCATATCCTGCCGTCAGCTAATACTGGAATCTTCTACTCTTCCAACCAGTCCATCCCCCACAGTTATTACCTTTTTGTACCACCAGCCTCTCCCTCTTAGATTGTAAGCTCCAAGGTGCAGGGCCCTCCTTCCCTCTTGCATTGAACTGTATTGTTACTGTATTGTCTCCCGTTATATTGTAAAGCGCTGAGCAAACTGTTGGCGCTATATAAATCCTGTATAATAATAATAATAGTTGGGGATAACTTTGCAACCAGCAACTGCTGAGACAATAAACACTTTGGTGAGGATTATACATAGTACAGCACAATTTACAGACAACAGTAGTCATGACTATGTAAAGTACAGCATAGCAAATGGAAGGGCTAGAAATATGTTATCTAAAACTTATCTTATAGGGTGCAAGGGTCAAAACTATGTAACATACATGTAGCATACAGTGCAGCAGCCACGACTATGTAACATGTAGCATAGCATTAGGAATTGAGGATGAATTATTATGCAATATACAACATAGTAAAGTATGCAGTATGTAACCTACAACATAGTATATAGACTGCCGGGGTCAGGACTCTGTAACATACAACATAGCATAGTAGGCAGTATGTAACCTACAACATAGTATATAGGCTGCAGGGGTCAGGACTATGTAACATACAACATAGCATAGTAGGCAGTCTGTAACCTACAACATAGTATATAGGCTGCAGGGGTCAGGATTATGTAACATACAACATAGCATAGTAGGCAACCTACAACATAGTATATAGACTGGAGGGGTATGTAACATACGACATAGCATAGTAGGCAGTATGTAACCTACAACATAGTATATCGGCTGCAGGGGTCAGGACTATGTAACATACAACATAGCATAGTAGGCAGTATGTAACCTACAACATAGTATTTATTCTGCAGAGGTCAGGACTATGTAACATACAACATAGCATAGTAGGCAGTATGTAACCTACAACATAGTATATAGGCTGCAGGGGTCAGGACTATGTAACATACGACATAGCATAGTAGGCAGTATGTAATCTACAACATAGTATATCGGCTGCAGGGGGTCAGGACTATGTAACATACGACATAGCATAGTAGGCAGTATGTAATCTACAACATAGTATATCGGCTGCAGGGGTCAGGACTATGTAACATACGACATAGCATAGTAGGCAGTATGTAACCTACAACATAGTATATACAACACAACAACATACAAAACAACATAGTATATAGGCTGCAGGGTTCAAGACTATGTAACATACACATAGCATAGTAGGTAGTATGTAACCTACAACATAGTATATACAAACACAAAACATACAAAACAACATAGTATATAGGCTTCAGGGGTCAGGACTATGTAACCTACAACATAGTATATAGGCTTCAGGGGTCAGGACTATGTAACCTACAACATAGTATATAGGCTTCAGGGGTCAGGACTATGTAACATATAACATAGCATAGTAGGTAGTATGTAACCTACAACATAGTATATAGGCTTCGGGGGTCAGGACTATGTAACATACAACATAGCGTATAGAGTGCAGGTGTCATGGCTGTGTACCACAGTGCTGCTTACATTACTGGTCAGTTGGAGGAAACATTCCCTATTGTGTGTTGTCAGTAGGAAGAAGCATGTCCCATTGTTGATGTCCGTGGGAAGAAAACTACATCTTAGCACTGCTGTCTGTGGCAGTAGGAATTCTCAAACACTGGTGTCAGTGGTTACTTACCTGCAGAGATGTTCCTTGTCCCATTTCAGTGCCTCTAAATGTACAGATAATATCAACACTGAAACTACGCAGGCATTGCTGGGAATGAAATCTCTCTACCCAATAGCACCAGCCTAGATCCAGTGCCGAGTGCTGGAGAACACAGCACCCACTACCAATATGCAAAGAATCCTGAAACACACACACTGTGGGACAGTGCCCACAATCATGAGACTGTCCCACAGCATTAAGAACACCATGCAACCATCAACTTATGCTCCCTTCTTTCCTGTGCCTGTGTTCGTTTTTATTGGGTTGCTATGACTGCTATTTCCTTTCTCCTTCTCGGCCCAGAAGGTTGGATTGACAAGCTAAGGAACTATGTAGAGGTATTATGATAGACATGCTCAGTCTGCCTGCAAGGTATAATGGGATGAGGATATACAGCTTAAGTGGACCTCTGACCTTAGTATGTTGGCCGTGTTTCCTGGATATCATGAATAATTTTGCTTGCTGCTCTTCAAAGGAACCTTGCCAAAAGCTGGAGAAGGCAATCACTTAGTTACATAGTTTGGCTGAAAAAAGACAAAAGTCCATCCAGTTCAACCATTAAAAAAAAGTTATAATCCTACACCCACAGTTGATCCAGAGGAAGGCAAAAAAAAACAAACATCAAAGCATGATCCATTTTGCTCCTGCAGGGAAAAAAATTCCTTCCTGATCCCCCGAGAGGCAATCGGATATTTCCTGGATCAACTTTACCTATAAATATTAGTATCCAGTTATATTCTGTATCTAAGAAATCTCCAGGACTTTTATAAAGCAATCCAGGACTTTTTATCTATCTAATCTATCAATCCATCTATCTGGCCTATCTATCTATCTATCTATCTGTCATTGTTTAAGCTTTTCTTGGAGGATAACCAGGGGGACCATGTGAAAGGTTACATAGTTAGTCTGGCTGAAAAAAGACAAAAGTCCATCCAGTTCAACCATAAAAAAATAAAAAACAAAAGTTATAATCTAACACCCACAGTTGATCCAGAGGAAGGCAAAAAAAAAAGAAAAGCAAAGCATGATCCAATTTGCTCCTGCAGGGAAAAAAAATCCTTCCTGATCACCTGAGAGGCAATCGGATATTCCCTGGATCAACTTTACCTATAAATGTTAGTATCCAGTTATATTCTGTGTATTTAGGAAATAATCCAGGACCTTTTTAAAGCAATCCACTGAGCTGGCCAGAACCAACTCTTGAGGGAGTCTATTCCACATGTTCACAGCTCTCACTGTAAAGAAACCTTTCTGTGTTGGGAGATAAAATTTATTTTCCTTCAGACTTAAAGAGTGCCCCCTTGTCCTCTGTGATGACCTCAGGGTGAATAACTCTACACCGAGTTCACTATATGAACCACTGATGTATTTATACATGGAGATCATATCACCCTTATGTATTATACATGGTGATCATATCCCCCCTTATGTATTATACATGGAGATCATACCCCCCCTTATGTATTATACATGTTGATCATATCCCCCTTATGTATTATACATGGTGATCATATCCACCCTTATGTATTATACATGGAGATCATACCCCCCTTATGTATTATACATGGAGATCATATCCCCCCCCCCCCCCCTTATTATGTATTATACATGGAGATCATATCCCCCCTTATGTATTATACATGGAGATCATATCCCCCCCTTATGTATTTTACATGGTGATCATATCCCCCCTTATGTATTATACATGGAGATCATATCCCCCCCTTATGTATTTTACATGGTGATCATATCCCCCCTTATGTATTATACATGGAGATCATATCCCCCCCCTTATGTATTATACATGGAGATCATATCCCCCCTTATGTATATACATGGAGATCATATCCCCCCCTCATGTATTTTACATGGTGATCATATCCCCCCTTATGTATTATACATGGAGATCATATCCCCCCTTATGTATTATACATGGAGATCATATCCCCCCCTATACATGGAGATCATACCCCCCCTTATGTATTATAGATGGTGATCATATCCCCCCCTTATGTATTATACATGGAGATCATATCCCCCCCTTATGTATTATACATGGAGATCATATCCCCCCCTTATGTATTATACATGGAGATCATATCCCCCCCTTATGTATTATACATGGTGATCATATCCCCCTTATGTATTATACATGGTGATCATATCCCCCTTATGTATTATACATGGAGATCATATCCCCCCTTATGTATTATACATGGTGATCATATCCCCCCCTTATGTATTATACATGGAGATCATATCCCCCCTTATGTATTATACATGGAGATCATATCCCCCTT